CTTTCATGAAACTTATGGCAGGCTGCAATGGGGGCTGCATAATAATGGGTTCCTGGTTATTTAATGCAGGCCCAAGAACTGAAAGCTCCCCAGAGTTTGAATGGATCACTGGGCGGACCTAGACTTTTTTTAAATATTGAGACTTTTTTAAATATTAATAATAAATTTATTTTTTATTTTTTGAAATATAAAAATACTAATTAAATTTTTATATTTAAGTTTTTGTTATTATAGTTGAACTTGCTAGTAAGAGGGGGGGGGGAGAGAGAGAGAGGAGAGGAGAGAAAGAATGTTTGAAAAATTATGATGATAAATTTAAATTTAAATTTAACTTTTTTAAGAGTTAATATTTATTTTTAGTAGTTTTACTTTTACTATTAGCTTTTTCCTTTTTGTATTCAAAAAATTAAATTTTAGGGCTTTTTATTTTCAACGGGCTCAATTCACTAAAGTTGAAATATTTTGTTTGGATTTAAATTTAAGTTTTTTGGAGCCTATTTTTTATGAATTTAGATTTTTTGTTTGAGTTGTTATTATACATTTAAAAATTATGAGATCTTTTTTAAAGTGGGGCTTAAAGCCAAGACTTTATTGACCTAGTGATAGGGCTGGCCTGCTTATTATACCGGCTCTCCAATCAATCATCCAAAAACTTTGCAAACCTCTGAAGTTGTATCTTTTTTTTGATTCAGCGCTACGATGTGTTCGGACTAATTTACGGAAATTGCTAATTTGCTATCAAATTAGTAGGATATACTTTTTTTTTCCCGAGTAATGTTTTCTTTTGGATTGTTTCGTAGTGGAACTTAACAAAAGAATGAAAGTAATGTACCAAAAAAAAATTTTAATTCTTGAACTTAATATGTCAAGTTTAAGAGAATTTTTTTTGTTTAACAGTCAAAAGTGTTAGGGATCGCTACGAGCATCTCGATTAATCTTCTTCTCGGTTTGGTCAAAAAGTCAATTCAACGGTTAGGAGTGTCAAAGTCAACTTGTGCGCACTTTGATTAAACTCTTTCCCGGTTTAGTCAAATACAAATCATTCACATCGAAATTAAAGTATTCATGAATAATAAATTCCTCATAGTCTACTCTTAAAAGAATTGTCAAGATTCGAATTCAGAATGTTTGAGTTTACAATTCACCTTTATTACCATTTTAGCTATTTTTTAAATTAAAAATGTAGAATGTCGAAAACAGAAAGAAAGCAACCAAACAGCAGGTCTAACTAGGGGTGTTCACCCTACCCTACGGGTAGGAAATATAGTCTTCTGCATTCCTATACAATATTTTGCAGAAGAATTTTTTCTTATTCTACTCTACCCAATCAGGTGTGGTATTCCTGCCCGACTTCGTACCCGATTAATCGAGTAGGAAGTCGGGTAAACACTTTTGTAGTTATTAATTTTTTGATTATTTTAACAATTCAATTAAATACACATGCACCAATTTAACAACATAACAAATCAATAACACTAAAACCTAAAATAATTACAATAATAATTATAATAAAACACAAGAACCAGCAGGAATATCAATCCATCATAATTGTTACACAAATACAATAACAATTATTTTAAGTTTAAACCATATGAAATATATTAAAGCTCTAAATAGATCACTAGTTTACCACAAATCATGTAACCTACACAAAAAATAAGTCTATATTTTAACAACTCAAACATCCACAACAATGATGATGTTATAATATAAATTATATCACACAAATATTCTTATAATTATTAAAAAAAATATAAAAAATTAAATATATTTTTTGCGGGTAGGGTAGGGTAGGAATGCGAAAATTGATAGGTATTCCGCATTCCTACCCGATTTAATCGAAAAACCAAAAACTCTTTCGCATTCCTACTCGATTTTTACAACTAACTGTTCAGTAGGGTAGGGTAAAGTCAGGTAGGGTAGGAAATTGCGACTAATTAAAAATTTGAACACCCCTAAGTCTAACCTAATTAGACATTCCAAGTTCAAGTTCGAAATTATGATTTCATAACTTTTATGGGATCTTTTTTATTTTAGCTATGCTGCCTTCTCCAAAACACCCCAGCTGATAGTAATACCAAAAAAAAAAACAAGAAGGTATGATTCTGGATCATAATGTATTTGAGGGTGATAGATCTCTTCAGAGTAAATTCGATTAGCGATTTTGAGTTTTAGCCGAATTATACGATCTTCAATTATCATACTAAAACTAAAAAATTTCTGATTTTGTATATGACAATGGCAGTGGCTATGTGTGCATTAGTGCTAGCATGCACAAATCAACCTAAGTGGGGAACCTTATCATTGGACAGTGGAAAGCGATGAAGGAGCATCAATCATGGTGGACCACATCTTCGACATCAAGATGAGAATGGTGATACAATTCCATGACACATAATTTTTGAATGGAATTCTTTAACGAGAGGAACAAATCATCCAATTCCTTTCAACGTGGCCCAGGATACCTTATCAGGTTACTCAAACAACTTGTGCTCACTGTAGTAATGGTGGGCAGCATGTGGGACCCTCCAAAGTGTCTCACAGTATGGTGGATGAAGATGCAGATATAAAGTTATCATCTTGCTAAAATAAATTACTTTTTAATACCGTTTCAAAAATTATTTGAAAAAAATTGTGAACTTGAAATTTATTAGACGAATTATATAGCAATGAGAAAGATTTGGCTTTGGTTTGAAGGGTACCATTGCCATAAGTGGTATAGGCAAACCTACAAGATTTAATTTAAGAATTTAATCAAATATTTAATTTAATGCAGTATAGTTATAAACTTTAATACGTTCAAAAAAAAAATTGTACAGTGTCATCTTAGTAAAAAAGGTCAATATTTAATCATGGATTATGTATTGGTGAAAACATATTTATAAATAAATAAATTTATTTTAAATCCTTACTAAATAATTTGAAATTGAATTAAAAGGTACTATCGAATCTCACCCCTGCAACAAGCCAATTAGGTAAATGTTTTGTTTATCCAAGAAGATAATCATCCTATCCTTGTTAATGTTTGGTATGGGTCTTCGTACTTTTTGTGGGGTCTATGGGCAAAGGTATGCATAATAGGGTATCTTTGAACTATTATGCTCTTAACCACATATTTTTTTTATTCAACCGTCATGAATGTTCAAATCAATTTACATAATGGTCATGAATGTTCAAATCAATTTACATATTTTTTGATTAATTTTCTCTTCGATTTGATTAAAGATAGGTCATTCACGTTAAAAATATAATATTCATAAAGAATAAATATTTGATGACTTAATCTTATAAGATTCGAACTCATAATATCTATATTTATAACTTGTCTCTTATACCTAATCAAAAATCAAATTAACCTTATAACAATAGGTCATTCTAAGAATAAACTAACCATGTCTTGTTTACGATTGATCATAATCGTGATCTAAAAAATTTTAAGAAAAACTTAAGGATGATCGCTCCATTGATCCTAGGTGATAGTTATTGAATATACATATTATGAATGATTATAAAATTTAATAGTATCCATTAATTTTAGACACCACGTATAACGTAAAAGTGATGAGACGTGAGTTTCTACCGGTAAACAGCCGTCTTAAGACGTTAAAAGAGTTTTGGTTGTTAGTAGAGAATTCAATCATAATCGGTTACTCCCGTCAAATGAACAAACCTAAAAGCCGTTATGTTCCCCCACCAACCGAATACAATGACGTGGAATATTATCAGCCTTCCAAGTCTTATACTTGTCGTAAACCGTCCGATTCTTCCGCACGCTTGTTTTACTTTAGCACAAAAAGCCCGCTCTCTTTCTTTCCTGCCTCAATTTTCCCGGTTACCATACAGAATCTACAGCCTCCACGGCGACCACATTCTGATTCAAAAGGAAACTGCCGTTTTTTCCTCTCTCTCTCTCTCTCTCTCTCTCTCTCTCTCTCTCTCNTTATGTATTGGTGAAAACATATTTATAAATAAATAAATTTATTTTAAATCCTTACTAAATAATTTGAAATTGAATTAAAAGGTACTATCGAATCTCACCCCTGCAACAAGCCAATTAGGTAAATGTTTTGTTTATCCAAGAAGATAATCATCCTATCCTTGTTAATGTTTGGTATGGGTCTTCGTACTTTTTGTGGGGTCTATGGGCAAAGGTATGCATAATAGGGTATCTTTGAACTATTATGCTCTTAACCACATATTTTTTTTATTCAACCGTCATGAATGTTCAAATCAATTTACATAATGGTCATGAATGTTCAAATCAATTTACATATTTTTTGATTAATTTTCTCTTCGATTTGATTAAAGATAGGTCATTCACGTTAAAAATATAATATTCATAAAGAATAAATATTTGATGACTTAATCTTATAAGATTCGAACTCATAATATCTATATTTATAACTTGTCTCTTATACCTAATCAAAAATCAAATTAACCTTATAACAATAGGTCATTCTAAGAATAAACTAACCATGTCTTGTTTACGATTGATCATAATCGTGATCTAAAAAATTTTAAGAAAAACTTAAGGATGATCGCTCCATTGATCCTAGGTGATAGTTATTGAATATACATATTATGAATGATTATAAAATTTAATAGTATCCATTAATTTTAGACACCACGTATAACGTAAAAGTGATGAGACGTGAGTTTCTACCGGTAAACAGCCGTCTTAAGACGTTAAAAGAGTTTTGGTTGTTAGTAGAGAATTCAATCATAATCGGTTACTCCCGTCAAATGAACAAACCTAAAAGCCGTTATGTTCCCCCACCAACCGAATACAATGACGTGGAATATTATCAGCCTTCCAAGTCTTATACTTGTCGTAAACCGTCCGATTCTTCCGCACGCTTGTTTTACTTTAGCACAAAAAGCCCGCTCTCTTTCTTTCCTGCCTCAATTTTCCCGGTTACCATACAGAATCTACAGCCTCCACGGCGACCACATTCTGATTCAAAAGGAAACTGCCGTTTTTTCCTCTCTCTCTCTCTCTCTCTCTCTCTCTCTCTCTCTCTCTGTGTCAGTGTGTTGTGATTGTTCTGTTTGAGCTTTTGTGTCAGCTTTGCAGCAATTTCCGATTTCAATGGTTTTGTTTCTACACTGTCTTTTTTAATCCCATCGATAAATTTCTGTTCTTTTACCCATTTTTTTTTACTCATAGTATTTGATTTGATTCGAGTAAGGTGAAATATTTCTGAGAAAATCAGACACAAATCCGAGAAAATCTTCGAACAGCTAGCTTTCCAAATTGGCAGATTTGAGGAAATTTTTGTCTCTAAGAATTGAAAATTTCAAAAAAGAGAAAGAATCGTAAAACGAGACAGCGTTGTGTTCGAACGATCAATCCCTGTCTTGTGCGCATGTATGTATGTTTCTTCTTCATCTTCTGCTTTTTTTCTCTCCTTTCTCTGTCTCCGATTCCGTGCGATTCCACTTTGTCTATTATACGCCGTGTGCCAGCGCATTTTAAAGTGGGTTTGGTACAGGTTAGCGATGAGTTGATTAAAGTAGAATAAACGATTGCCGCTGATTCTCAGTGACTGGTCGGTGGGTATGCCGGATTGAAAAAGGTGACAAAAAACACTTATCAACTCAACATATCTATGTTGGGCCCCACTATGTACTATTTATTAATCTATGCAACTCATAATTTATTTTTTTTGGTAACAGGAAATCCTTGGCAGCGACTAGAGTTATGTACATATTGCTTAGGTTCCCGAGTTTGGTGGGGATTATAATTCATATAAAAAACTTGGATATAGTTCGTCTCTAAACAATTGGGACAAAAGTTTAATAAGACAAGAGATATTGTTAGACCAAAGACATGTTGATGCACATTCTTAAAATTGAGTCATAAAAAACATTATTATGAATAAAATGAAAAGAAGTGGTGAAAAATTATGTTTATGTTTTGTTTGTTTGTTGATTTAATCATGTGATCATTCAAAAATTAACATCCGAATCCTTTATATTACCTCTTTCCTTGAATAAATAGATTTATTTTTTTTCTTTTTAATTTGGACAAGATTCCCTTTGGTGGCAATTCGAAATCACTCAATTAGACTTTGCTACTTAATTGTTCTTTTCAAAAATGATTTTATTTCAACATTTTATTGTACACAAACTATTTTTTCTGATGCCTATCTCTAAATCTAGCTCATTACATGTAAATCAGTGGGTTGTATTTAACTATTTTATGGGTTGTATGCATGGCTGATAATCAAGCAAAGGTGCGACTCGTTTGAGATAAGTTGAATTTGAATAAATTTTTAGATTCATTTAAAAAACATAAGCTCGATGGGCTCTGTTGAATTGTTAACTCGGATGTTATGAATTATATTCTTTTATTGGGGGGTTGATTTTTTCCCTGTGGTGTTCTCTGTTTTTTTCTTTCTTTGGCAAGACAATGCTTTCGGTTTTAGTGTAAAAAGTACTCTCTGAATTCTTGTTTTATTATGCTTGAAAGTAACTAGAACTTATTCATCCACTTCTGCTATTCGATAATTTCTTTGCCTTCCTTATCTGCCATTTTATAAAGGGTTTTAGGGATTGTTTTATTATGCTTAAAGGTGACCAGAATGTTATTCCTCCACTTTTTGTTATTCCAAAAATTTCCTTACCTTTGCTTCAATATTATAAAGGGTTTAGGAATTGAAGAAAACAGAACGCTACTGAAAGGCCAAAGAAGCTTCTTTTCTGCGTCGACGAAACTTTTTTCTTCAAACTACTACTTCTTATTCACTTGATAAAATCCCAGGTTTTCTGAGTGTGTAGTTGTGCTACAAAGTTTGATGTCTGTACCGTTGGAACATGATTACATCGGCTTATCAGAGACTTCTTCAATGGAAAGAAGCTCTGACAAGACTTCATCTTCTTCTTCCTCAACTCTCACAAGTGAGTATGAGAACAACAATGTTCTCAACCTCAAGGAAACTGAGTTGAGACTTGGGTTGCCGGGTAGTGAGTCTCCTGAAAGGAAGGGTGGACTGGGGATGTCTCTTTTTGGGAAAGATTTGGAGGATGAGCCTGATGGGTATTTGCTTAGCCATCTCAAGAACTTTGTCTCTGGGGCTAAGAGGGGTTTCTCTGATGCTATTGATGGGTCTGAAAAATGGGCTCTCACTATGAATGGTGGATCTGAGGTTGATTTGGCCAAAGGTGCTGTTTTGTTCTCTCCTAGATGTGGGAATAATCTCTTGGAGAAAAACAATACTCACAAGTCATGTTTGGCTGGCCCTGCTATGAAAGATGCTGGTGTTCCTTCTCCACAAAAGCCTATTGAAGAGAAGAAGACCTCTCCCTCAAATGATAATAGTAGTGCTCCTGCTGCTAAGTAAGTTTATCTTTTGCTTGTTTTTAATTAACCTCTCGAATTCTCTCCTGTACTTGTTTATCCGGAGTGATGATTTCTTAAGAGGGTTATCATGTGTGAAATGTTTTTTCCTAATAACTATGGCTATTCATATATGGCTTTGATTTCCTGGACATATCCTCCTACTTTTAGTTAATTTCCCTTGCATTCTTTGGTTAATAGGGTTGGATTTATTTTTTTGGATCCAAGCAGAGGGTAACATGCTCTCAAATGGTCCTAATATGCGACCAATAAGTTGTGTTAATTTGAGTTTTGTGTTGTTTTCATGGCAGTAACTCAACTTCATGCCTTTACTTTTTCTATTTCTCAGCAATCAATTATAAAGTTTGTGTATTAACTTGTGAGTCACAATTAAGGTTATCTATGCTCCTTTTTGCCACCATGCTATGCTTCTCAGTTGTACGGATACACCTTATATGGCCAAAGATATGTGTGACATTAAGCAATAAAATTTGATGATTCCAAAACAGGGCACAGGTGGTAGGATGGCCACCAATTCGTTCTTTCCGAAAGAACACCATGGTCACCAATTTATCGAAGAACAGTGATATCCCTGATGAGAAATCAGGATCAGGATGCATTTATGTGAAGGTTAGCATGGATGGTGCTCCATACTTGAGGAAGGTTGACCTCAAAACCTACTGCAACTATGCAGAACTTTCATCCGCTCTAGAGAAGATGTTCAGCTGCTTTACCATTGGTACCCCCCCTCTCTCTCTTCCTCATCAGCTTTTAATCCAAAAAAGTTATGAAATGTTTGGTTTTTGATAGAAATGATATTTTATGATTTGAGATTACCTTCTAGCTAGAATCATATCGTTTGCCTAACATAACATCAAAGTCTTATGAATTATGTATGCACATAAAGTGACAATTTTCCAATCTATTAGCAATTGTTATTTCTATAGTCTTTTGGAAATCATTCTTCCCTAAACAATTTTACGTTGTCCATTGGAGGTGGAAGATGTTGGTTTTGAAGAGGATAAGTCACTAGTTTTCAAATTCATATCAGTGTCCGCCTTATGAATGTTATGGACCTTTACATTGACAAAATTAACGTCTCAGGGAATGTTGTATTCTTGTTTTGAACATTAGGAAGAAGCTATAGAGTTGATTACAAAAAATACTAGTTTGAAAGGCTAGTTGGAATTGATCCAGTTGGTCTTATTTATGCATTATGTTGCATTTTGACTGATCTACTCTCAATGAGTGTTCAATCAACTGCAGTAACATATCCTAATGTGGATTGACTTGTATTGATGCTTGACTGGTTCAGGGCAGTGCGGTTCTCATGGGCTTCCAGCACGAGAGGGACTTAGTGAGAGTCGCTTAATGGATCTTCTCCATGGCTCTGAGTATGTGCTAACATATGAAGACAAGGATGGTGATTGGATGCTTGTTGGTGATGTTCCTTGGGAGTAAGTTCATTGCAATTAACCTTGCTTATACTGGACTGCACACAATTATTTTAACTAAATGAGGTGTGATGATATAAATCCAATATTGAGTAATCCTTATTCTGATAAAAATGGCGTACCCGTGCACGTGGATACCGTGATTGCGGGGTCTAGGGAAGGTTAGCTATATCCAGCCTTATCCTACAAGCAGATAGGCTGCTTCTGATGACTGGATGAAATAGAAGCAGAACATGTTAGGCATCGGTTTATTGTTACTTCTGTGCATTTTTGATTAGGTGAACTTGATCTGAAACTTCAGATATGATTTTGTACTATCAGCTATTACTATGTATCATAATGTCCCAGTCTTTAGCTGTAAAATTGACAGGTTGATTTTGTTATTGTGGTACAGGATGTTCACAGGCTCATGCTCGAGATTAAGGATCATGAAAGGCTCAGAGGCAATTGGGTTAGGTATGTGCCCACCTATTGGAACCTAGCATGTGCCATAAACCTATGCATTTCTGTGACTCCTATCTCGACTTGGGGTTCCAATTCGCATCGAGGGTGTATTAGATTTGGCCGGAAAATTGTAGGATTTGTGGAATAAAGATGTGATAATTTGATGAATGGGGAACTAGCCTTTTGAGAGTTAATTGTAGTAGAGTTGGGATTTCACCTCAAATGTGTTTTCTTACAACTGGGTATTTCTCAATAGTGGTTCTCTCTGTAACGAGAGAATGTTATTTATACTTGACAATTATCAATTAGCCTTTACCTCTCACCTCTTACCTCTCACTAGGATAATCTCCATGATCAGTTGACCACCAGTAATTTCTCAACTCCCAGCAGTCAAAATAAGCTAAAATACTCGTAAGTAAGATTTAACTGCCTTGACCAAGTCTTTCACTATTTGATGTGTCCTTCTAACTAAGTCACTCATGCTAATTAGAAAAGATCTAACCCAAATATCAAATCAATGCAATATATATGTATGCAAACATTATTAGAAAATAATATTTAATACATAATAATTTTATAAAAAATATATGTATGATATATGTCATAAATAACGCAATAATTAACCAACGGATTGATGTTTTATATAAAGACCGAATTTAACCACCAACCATAGCTTAGCTACATATATTGCAACAGAAATAACTTGATTGTTTCCCTTGCTTGCAGCTCCGAGGGCCATGGAGAAGTGCAAGAATCGAAACTAGCACATTAGTCACCTGCAAAACATCAGAAGCATTTTCATTAAAACGCCAAAGGGTGTTAAGTTTGCTTTCTGCTCCAGAATCTTGTAGTAGTTTAGATTTGTAGTATTTCATGGATGAAAAACTTCCTTCTAGGCAGAAGACATAACCGGAGAAATCCAGATGTATGATTGTTGTATCATCTCTGAATACGTATTTTTGTACTTAAACTATGTGTAAAATGAAGTGCTTGCTATTGAAGGTAGATGAATGTTTTGAACCCTAACCGTGGCCTATGCTAATTTTTCCACCAAGCCGTTTGATAAAACTAAAAAATTGAATACTGAATGTTGAATTTTTAATTCATGAAAGGTTTAGTATTTATTGAAATTGAATTGAATAACTACACAAAACTGACGTTTGAAAATAAATTATTTTTGTTTGGTATTCACAGAAATTTATGTCCTGAATTAAACTAAATTATTTGATAACTACATAAAGTTGACGTCTGAAAATAAATTATTTTCTAATATATACCGAAGGCCTACAATTTACGGAAACAAGGGCCTTAGCCAACTCATGGTCTGAAAATTGGCTTTAGAAATCATGTGATTAAGACCCAAAAGCAGTTATCTGAAGGAAGCATTATAATTTTTATACACTTAATATGGTATTCCTATCCTATGCAACATGATGAATTTGCATATCTTTTACCACTTTGGGGGTCTTGACAACTACTTTAACCAACTATTAGAGTATTCTAATTTTAATCAATCTTAACTTCGTTCTTTAATGATAGCATTATAATCTTTTGAATATAGTGCCAACTGGCTTGTGAAACATCACCAGTCGAGCATGTTGCCTATCTCCCATTATGCCATACAGAGAAGACTAATCTGATTCAACTTTTGCATCAGCGAACCTGTCATTGATCTCTTCCTTCACGTCTCGCATACTACCTAGGGTTGTTTCCAAATAAGAAAACCGGCGAAAAGAATGGGATTGTCAAATCCTGTGGCCAAGTCGTACCTCGTCTAGAAAATACACATTAGAAACGCACAATACTCGCACAGTCCACTACAAGTCGAACCCATGATTCCAAAAGGGTGTCAACAACTTCTATTTATAAAAGAAAACCAGCTGTGAGTAGAGGAGTGTGCATAATATTTGACAGATTCAATGTTTTTATGCAGTGGCAACCTAAAAACTCACTCTGATAAAATCTTACAACTTTAAGATTCTGGTTTAGATATCTGAATATGTACCATTTGCGTATATCCATTGAATACAGAAGTCTCGAGTCTGGATAAACCAAGCCTCTGGAACAACCCAAATCTGCCATCTTCGACAATAGGACTGGACACACGAGCTGGATCATATCTCGTTTGATGAGTAAGTGAAGGACCGGCCACTGGGGGGAGCTCCCAATAAACGTCTAGCACAGATTCTACAAACCTGCTGTTCTGAAAATGTTGTGTGTAGGTAATTGCCTTGTTACTGTGGTTAAAATCATCCCGCATCTGCCCCTTGACACCCCACCACGCTTCACCTGGTCCACAAAGCTCTTCTATATCCACTGCCTTGTCCCAGAATTTCTTCCTTCTTGATCTTATCCTAGCTTCATCACTATCTTTAAAGCAGCTATGGCCACCTCCTGTTGAAAAAGAACATCATCATTAAAATTACTTCAAGCAATCAAGATAATTGAACAGAAAAAGATTTCGGAGCAAATGCTTGAAGAATAAAAATGTGCCAAACATCCGCAGACTAACAAACACTCGTCCACTAAGATTAATAATTTTGTCAACCTAAGTATGAGGTCAGCTACTTGAACTGGTTGCAGCTATCTAGTAGGTTAAAAATTGAACCAAGCAACCTTCCTGGTAACATTTTAAGGGTTCTCGAGAATCATAGAGCTTCATGACAGTCATGGAAGGCCAACCATTGTGTCTGTTCTAGGCTTAGGAAATGAGCCAAGTAGATTCCCAATAGCATTAGGGGACAGCCATACATTTCATATATGCACAAATCCTAGAATGCAAGGCATTATCCATGCTTGATGTGCCTAGACTATTGACAGTAAGGTGAGAGAGTACGCACCTCTTATATAAAATTGATCACATATCTGCCTAAAGGAATAATGATCACCAGTTCCAGTATCATAGTTGTCCTCAAAAACAAGATGCTTGAAGCCAGCTTTTAGTGCCTGCTTCAGTCTACCATAAAATTATGCATTTAAAAAGGAAACACATTAAATGTCAGTGGAGCCGGTGGTCAGTAATATAAGGCATAAAAAAAGTAGCCAACCATACATTTATAACCCACAAACATGTGCCATACTGTTTTAAGCTGTGAAAGTAGGAAGAAGATGGTAAGTATTACAGCAAATATGACTTACCTTTTCAATTCATTCTGGTGGTCATCAAAGAAGATAAGAACCCGACTGAGATCTGTGACGCCATGTTTCTTCATCACACTTCCCCAGTTAACACTCCCAAAATCAACGAACTCCTTTCCAGCAAAGTATGTGCAATTCCCATCAACATAAGCTGGCCCTTTCTTAAGGTACTTCTCAGGATGGCGTGGTGTCAGAGACACAATTGGTTTGTCTGGCATTGCTTGCCTCAAGACCCAAGTAGAATGCCCCTTAAAAGCACCACTCTCTATCATCAGGTCAGGCTTGAGCCATCGAGCAATATACCACAGCCCAAAGCTGTGGTCAAAACCCATCCCATACATATTGTTCTTGATAGGTCGTGTTTCATATATTGGCACAAACTCTTCAAGACCTTTGAGTAAATCCTTATTTGTCCATTCCACGGTTTTTCCATGTTTCGGTCTGCCTTTTGACAAAGATACAAAATTAATGGGCATAGACTGCAAGAACAGAATGATTTAATTTCTTTACTTTCTTTTCCATTTTTTGGAGGATTGGGGGTAGGCAGGAATCATTTTGAAAATACAACAGCAGCAAACAGCCGAGTTGACAAAGAAATGCTTTAAAGATAACATAAATCCACGAACCAGATTGGCCCTTGCATTTAACAAGAACATTCTTTGGAAAAAAAAAACGCATGAACTCTAACTTAGAGTATCAATGAAGGAGCATATGAATCACTCTAAGGTACTAAATGCTGTGATTCTGTTTTTAGCTAAAAAAGTAAAAAACATCTTGAAGGGAAGCACTAAAGAAGAAGTCACCACCACAAGTAATGGAACAGGATCAATTTCAGAATTAGTAAAATGCCTGCCATTTTCAATCTTGCACAACCATTTGTGACAATGACATTACCATGACTGTCACATTCCTCTGTGAATTTCCAAACAAAATTTTCTTCTAAACCACTCTTTGACAATTTAAATTCCATAAGATGTCTACATAATAACCATTTACACCACATTGGCAGCATGGTATAGAATTAAAACTCAAGGAAAATCAGTAACAGTTTGAACTACTATTTGTTCAATTGGAAAACCACAATTCCACATCATCAGTGCAGTGTAGTAGTACTCTATCAGTAAACAACAAACACAGTGGTCCTTGGTAATTTTTATGATTACTTCATTCTTAAGTGAAATGGACAGTAAATGTGTGCTCTCTTTCCTCGCTCAATGGAAGCATGTGGACTGTTGCAATACACACACACACACACACACACAAAATTATCCACATCTTCCAATACTAGGACCGTAGAGAAATCGAAATTGTAAAGGGAACCTAAAACATCAATTGAGCCTAGCTGAGACTTTCAAATCGTTCTATTTTCTTCAGTTCATTTTCTCAGCAGCAAAACAACCTCTGAACTAATCATGCATATGCACTTGAATACTAAGCATGATCTGTATCGTTAATCACAAAGTCCAAATTAATCATGCATATCCACACAAAGATTCAACACTAGCTAATTGAGATCTGACAAAACCCTAGAATTAGACAATCAATAAAACTACAAACCCTCACAGATCAAAAAACACATAAATTCGCGCCTACGAATATAGAATCCAAAACCACTTACACCAGGGAACACCGAGAGATCCAAAATGGGACTCGAGGCTGTCGAAACCGAAGAAACGCATGCGAGAGACAGGGTCGAATGCTGAAGGGGAAGAAATGCAGACCAAATCGCGAGAGTGAATGATGAGAGAAGAGACTACGATGACGACGAGACCGAGGACCAGACAGGGCAATAGATAACCAGTTCGGGTCAAGTGATTCGTGGCCCTCATGGCCAGCAATACTTGCTTCCTCGTCTTCGATTCGTCGTCCTCGTCTCCTTCCTCGCCAACTTGCGCCGTTCTGCGCGCAGAAAGCACTCTCTCTAGCATCTTCTTTGTACTCATTTCCAGTGAACTCTCATTCCGTGTGCGTTGTGTGTTGCGGGTTAGATTAGCAGTCGTCAAAATTTAATAAACTATTTTTGGTAAGCTAAGTTGATTTAACGAATGATTATTAACGAATTAATGAAGAACTCACGTACTGGGTTGGGCTCAAGGCTGGGTGTAATTTGAAACAAATTTGGGCTGTTATTTTGAGGATGGGCTTACTAAGAAGCAGGTGCAGTGATAAATGCATTAGCATGGACTGGGCTCTTGGGCTTAAATGGGCTACCATTAGATGGACAGAGTCACAGAGCCGTAGCTAGACTGGGCACAATGGCCCCTCCAAAATTTCAGAATGACCCCTTCATTCAGAAAGATGTGCACAAGGTGATCTTAAAATTTAATAATCAATTGATTGACATACTAAATATGAACGGATTGATTGACATACTAAATCTGAACGAGTCATAGAGTTTGAGCAATGACACGATCAGAACTTATTTTGCTTGGTCCAAGGTTTGTCAGTTCAAATTATTGAGAGTGATCAATACTGGTAAATTAGGCCGCACAACAAGCACGTAAACTTTTTTTTTTTTTTGGTATTCTCGACGTATATACAATTTAGGCAATTTATAAGGAAATGCAGTGGAAGTTCAGAAAAACTGTAAAAATAAAATCGTAATTACATTAATCTACGGGGATGTTATTGATATTTTCACAAAAAATCTATAGCTTACAGGTTGATTGGGGCCATAGTGCACACACACTCGAGCACANACTAATCATGCATATGCACTTGAATACTAAGCATGATCTGTATCGTTAATCACAAAGTCCAAATTAATCATGCATATCCACACAAAGATTCAACACTAGCTAATTGAGATCTGACAAAACCCTAGAATTAGACAATCAATAAAACTACAAACCCTCACAGATCAAAAAACACATAAATTCGCGCCTACGAATATAGAATCCAAAACCACTTACACCAGGGAACACCGAGAGATCCAAAATGGGACTCGAGGCTGTCGAAACCGAAGAAACGCATGCGAGAGACAGGGTCGAATGCTGAAGGGGAAGAAATGCAGACCAAATCGCGAGAGTGAATGATGAGAGAAGAGACTACGATGACGACGAGACCGAGGACCAGACAGGGCAATAGATAACCAGTTCGGGTCAAGTGATTCGTGGCCCTCATGGCCAGCAATACTTGCTTCCTCGTCTTCGATTCGTCGTCCTCGTCTCCTTCCTCGCCAACTTGCGCCGTTCTGCGCGCAGAAAGCACTCTCTCTAGCATCTTCTTTGTACTCATTTCCAGTGAACTCTCATTCCGTGTGCGTTGTGTGTTGCGGGTTAGATTAGCAGTCGTCAAAATTTAATAAACTATTTTTGGTAAGCTAAGTTGATTTAACGAATGATTATTAACGAATTAATGAAGAACTCACGTACTGGGTTGGGCTCAAGGCTGGGTGTAATTTGAAACAAATTTGGGCTGTTATTTTGAGGATGGGCTTACTAAGAAGCAGGTGCAGTGATAAATGCATTAGCATGGACTGGGCTCTTGGGCTTAAATGGGCTACCATTAGATGGACAGAGTCACAGAGCCGTAGCTAGACTGGGCACAATGGCCCCTCCAAAATTTCAGAATGACCCCTTCATTCAGAAAGATGTGCACAAGGTGATCTTAAAATTTAATAATCAATTGATTGACATACTAAATATGAACGGATTGATTGACATACTAAATCTGAACGAGTCATAGAGTTTGAGCAATGACACGATCAGAACTTATTTTGCTTGGTCCAAGGTTTGTCAGTTCAAATTATTGAGAGTGATCAATACTGGTAAATTAGGCCGCACAACAAGCACGTAAACTTTTTTTTTTTTTTGGTATTCTCGACGTATATACAATTTAGGCAATTTATAAGGAAATGCAGTGGAAGTTCAGAAAAACTGTAAAAATAAAATCGTAATTACATTAATCTACGGGGATGTTATTGATATTTTCACAAAAAATCTATAGCTTACAGGTTGATTGGGGCCATAGTGCACACACACTCGAGCACATTCATACACAAGGACCGAGAGAGAGAGAGAGAGAGAGAGAGAGAGAGAGAGAGAGAGTATTGAGGGAGGGAAAGAAAGAGAATGGCCTCCTTAGACTCTCCCAATTTATCTCCAAGTCCATCTTTCTCGATAAGAGGGAACCAAACCACCAATTTCTTCCGAAGCATCTCTACCAAAGAACAATCATTCTCAGAAGTCCCATGCACACCACCACGCTTATCCTCCACCTCCTTCTCTCCCGGCGGCCTCCACAACTCCCAACCCTCCACCCCTCTGCTCTCCTTCACACCCTCAAAACTCCACGATCTCCACACCACATACCGATGCATCTCCTCAGTCCTCAAAAAGGACGGCCAGATTTTGTCCATCGCCGCATCGAAAGGCCTCGTTTACACCGGCTCGGAGAACAACGTCGTTAGGGTTTGGAAGCTGCCGGAGTTCACAGAGTGTGGTCAGCTGAAGACCAAGGCCACCATGGTGGTGGCGCTCGTGGTGTCGAACGATAGGGTATATGCAGCTTATGCCGACTGTAAGATTAGGGTTTGGCGGCGGACTTGGGAAGGAGTTACGAAGCACGTCAGAGTGGCGACGATCCCGAAGGCCGGAAGTTATGTCCGGAGCTACATCGCCGGCAGAGATAAGATGGTAATGTTTAATGTGGATTTAATTCGCATTTATGGCTCTTAATAATGATTCATCTATAAGTTGGTATGCATATACTTAAAAGAGTAATGCTAGAGAATGTGGAGAGTCAGGACGGTTTTAAATGTATTGCATGCATGGACATCTGTGGAGTACATATTGGGACAACGTCGTCATCAATGTCAAGCGACCAATCAATTATAAAATAAATATTAGGGTTTGTGAATTTCATTATTCCTTTATTAGATAAGGTGGTTATTAATAATTATTAAAATGGCAGAGCCATTAAGTCTATTTCATATTCTTTCATTGGTTAGTAACACAATATAATATTGACGACATAATATTACCGTTACACTCAATATTTTCTCTCGCATATGTGGATTCTTGATTGGCATGACAGAATTAGTGTAAAGTGTCTGGAAAATAATTTTTTAGTATCGTAATTTTTATTTTTATTTAATTAAAATGTGACATGGGTAAAAAAAATTGTCAATTATTTCATTGTACTTTTTTTTTAAAAATTTTCCAAGAAGTACTGCAAAGAAATCAAACAAAAAATCTTTGATTAAATATTATTTTTCGTTATTGTCCTGAAAAATTAATTTTGTAACCTTAGCGTTATCTCCTACTTAAATAAACAATTAAGGAGATGTTTTCGGGATAAAACTTTTAATATCAATTTTTAAACAAAATAATTTAGACTAAACATTTGTTTTTAAAATTTTTATATGAATGTTATTGTTTGCGACATGTCTGGTTTTGGCTTTTATCATCATACTCATGTACAATTCTGGTTCAAATACTGCAAGGTAAAATTAGTATGGCTGGAACTTAGTTCTAACATGTACCATTAGGGGGTGGTTCTTGATGCAATAATAAAATCATTACATTAAAGCTACCCATGAGAACTTTCTTAAGACTTGATTTAAATAAATGAAAAGATTAGTGTCACGATCATGACAAGTACTGCACCATATGGAGAGTCATCAAGCATTTCATTGGAAGTGGCATTTTAGCAATGTATAAGAAGTACAATCTTTAGAGCCATACCCATATTACTATAGAAGGTTATTAGGTGGAGCTTATTAAATATTACAACCTCATATCATATTAATAGAGTCAGCAGCTTCACCTATTCATATTTAATTCGAAATAACTTAAGCATCCATGGGACTGCAAAGTCAAATTCATTTCTACTTGCAGCAACACATTTATTTGTTTGAGATTAACTTAATTGCTCCAATTCCAAGGTGACTTTATACAAAGTCTAACATTAGTTCCGTATGTGATTAGAGGATAACATTGTGATCTACCGAGATAGATGGGATATCAAAAAAACACTTGCACCAATTCTTTAGTCTTGTAATATTAGAAAATGAATAATGCTATTTGTATTTAAAAATCTAACCTAATAATATTACTAACAATGACATGATCTAATAATATTACTTTAAATGTAATGGTTGGACGTTTTTATTACGACTATATGATTTCACATATCATTTTATTAATAAATTAAGTCAAATTTTTAAATCCAAGTAATATTATTATTAGTGGATTCACACCAACAAATAATTAAGATTGCAGTCTGCATAGCTTCTAGCTAACTTTGTGCTATAATGTTATGCATGTGAATTTGTAAACACTAAAATGTGCTGCAAGAGTTTCAACTTCTGTGTTTATGGCCTTCCACATAAACACACAATACACACACACACACACACACACACACACATTTTTATGCTACCTACCTATATTTTCAATGTTAAAATGTTGGGTTAATTGTATTGAAGGTTACCAAAATATAGAATTTACCTCATTTTAGTTCATAATATTTCAATTGCATCATTTTTGTCTAAAATATTGAATATATTTTTATGTGATTCTTCAAACAGATATCGTTCAGATTGGTAACAATTTTTGATCATATACTTATCACGTGATACCTAAATATGAGCAAAAAATAAGTTGGGTAGCTCTTGACAAAAAATGTGTAATACGGATAGCTCTTGACTAAAATTTGGAACTCATGATCAAAATTATGTAATTTGGATAGCTATTTGATCAAAATTTGGTCAAGAGTTATCCAAATTATATTTTGTTTATATTTAGGTAACACGTTATAAGTTTATGATAAAAAATCATTAATAATTTAGACGTTATTTGTCTGAGCGATCACATATAAACATATTCAATACTTTAACAATTAAAATAACGTAATTGAAATATTAATAATTAAAATGAGATAAATCTCATAATTTAGGGACTTCACGTGCAATTCACCTTAAAATGTTTATATTGTTTGTAATAGAGCTGGCCAAATTAACTGTTTGTTCAATATAGCAGATGAAGCATATGGGGCCAATATCAGCACTGGCAATCAATGTATCAGATGACATCCTCTACTCAGCTTCCCTTGACAAAACAGTCAAAGTATGGCGAATCTCCGATCTCAAATGCGTTGAGACCATCCCAGCCCATTCAGAGCCGATCAACGCCATCGTGGTGGCCGACGACGGCGTCCTATACACCGGCTCCGATGATGCCACCGTCAGGGTATGGCGGCGCAACTTTTGTAGCGGTGACCGGCCTCACGGGCTCACCGTGACCCTTCCGGCCAAAAACTCACCGGTAAAAACCCTAACCCTAACCTCAGATGGTGGGGTGTTATATGGAGGATGCACTGATGGGTACATATACTATTGGTTAAAGGGTTGGTTCTCGGGGCAACTTCAATACGGTGGTGCACTCCAAGGGCACACCCATGCTGTATTGTGCATGGCCAGTTTGGCTAACTATGTGGTTAGTGGTTCCGCTGATTCAACCAGTAGGATCTGGGTTAGAGAGCAAGATGGTCAACACACGTGTCTGGCAGTCCTGCAGGGTCACAGAGGGCCAATCAGGTGTGTAGCGGCGTTTCCTCTGCTTGCGGCGGAGGAGAGTGAGGATGGTGCTGGTTGTACTGTTTGCACCGGAAGTCTTGATGGGATTCTAAAAGTGTGGAGGGTAAAGTCCACCAGCACCGCCGCCCGGCGCTCCGCCCAGAATGGTTGCGAGTATTTTGAGCTGACATGAAGCTGAGGGTGGCGGAAGATTTATTTGTGCTTGAAATTGTACAGTGCTGTACCAAATATTATGTTATGATTGTGGTACCGGGACATGGCGGATTAATAATGGTGGCCAGTATGTAAACATATTTTACTTTTTGCCAACTTACTCGAATTTACCCGAGTTTAAAAAATTGTTAAACCTGTTTAAAAAATAAGTGAAATTTGAAAAGTTTGATTATTTTATATATAAACGAGCTGAGTCTAATAAAATTAAAAAATTATTTATATTTAATTTGTTTAAAAAATAAATTAAATTAAAAATCAATCGAATTTGAATAATTTAGTTCGATTATAAGTCATATTTGCCTTCTTTTCTTGCAACTGGTTTACGCTAACTGACAAAACTTTGTGGAGGACAACTCAATCTCCATGGAACAAAAATGATGTGAGAGGAGGGACAATACTGAAAGATAATACACAGGCTGTCCATTGTATGAATTGATAAGTATGTGTGTGCGGGCTTGATCCTGCACGATATATATAAAATATTGGGAACAGATCTCTCCCCTGGTGAACTTTGGGTGAGCCGATTGAGTGGCCAAACACACTGCTCGAAACAGCTTACGATCCTGGGAAAGGAGGAACGATCCTGTACGTGCGAAAGGTATTTCCTGGGACAAAAGAGAACAAGTTAGAAGGGCGCCGGAGTGTTTTCCGGCGTATCCCCTCCGACGGTCTAGTCAGTCTTTGAATGAGAGAGAGGAAGGAGAAAACACTGAGAAGAATATTTCGTAGTTGAGAGTTTGAGATTGCCTACCTGTTTGCCTTTTTGGGAGGGGTATTTATACCTTAGAAGCTCATGATTGCTGTCAGTGTGGTCAGTAGGTGATCATCAGGCACTGGCAGCGTGTGTATTGATTTGACGAGGAATGTCTTCTCTAATTTACTGCTCGGGATCCCGAGCAATCAATGTTGAGTCGTCGGGACGCCGACGGTACAATATGCTCCTTTCGGGAAGGATGTAATAAATGCTCCGTAATAGGAGCATTTATTGCCTTTCATATCCGAACCTTACCGCATTGAATGCGGTCTCGTCAACAGAAGGGTGCAATTAATTGTTTGCTTCCCAAAGCGCATGTCAGCAATAGCGTGCGGTTTGCCTGTTTTTGATGTGATATCATATGCCACGCGTCCGTCAAGTATTGGCTATGACTTCTGTATTCCAGCATGTTCTGACATTACTTGTGTAAGACGAGGTCATGATGAATAGTCTAGACTGGCATAGGCTGATGTCCCGTACGTCAGTAACTTTATCCGGGAGTAGAGGAAGCGTCCAGGATGGAGTGACCCTCGGCGCCGAGGACAGGCTCACCTCGGGGGACCAAGGGGTGATGTGTTCCCGAGGTACATGGTGACCGAGGACACGTGTCGTATAATGCATCGAATATGTGATCCCATGAGAGGTACCTCGGGGGAGAGGACGCTTTTGCCGATGGTGTTTATAACCCGAGCAACATTTGTTCTAGAAACCCCCCCGAGGACACGTGTCTTCATCATAGGCTTTTCAGAAGAGTCCCATCAATGTGGTACAGAAGTTTAATTTTTTTCAGTAACATATCAAAAGTTGGTTATTGATTATCGTAAAATTTATTTTGAATTATTTATAGTTATCGGTCAAAAAAAAATTGAAGCAAAGTAAAACTTTATACATGTCATCTTGTGAGTAAATGACTCACAAACGGTGTCCATGGGCACATTGATGGTGGCCAAGGGAGCCCTACTACCTCGTCACCTTATAGTTGGAATTTTTTATGGCTGCAACTACCATGTACTTCGGTACGATCCGAGGCTGTTTCGAATCACTATATAGGAATCAATCCTTTCAACGTGAACCATCAAGTAATTAGGTGAAGGCGCGAATTAGAAAATTAAAGGAAACAAGAAAAGAAAAAAAAGAAAAATAGCTACAATTTGGGTATATGACATACATGACCCCTCAAATTATACCCCGACTTTTAAAAGAACAATGTTACATAAATTTAAAAAATGACCTTCCAATTTTCAATTGTTTTAATTAGTTAATCAAGTAATTAAGTCTTCCCATCTAATTTAACCGTTAACGTTAAAGGAAAACAAAAGAAAAACTATGATTAGTAACCTCTTGGGTTGTCTCGTAGGTTAGTGTAATCATCCATATATCAAATAAAATCATTGACTAATGAATCTTTTTGAAATTCTTCTTATGTGTCATTTTCTACAGTCTTAGTCTATCTTTCCTCTTTAATGGTCATCTAGTCAACTAAAGATGTTTACCTTACTCTACAGGTAAAAGTTATGATTTTTTATTTTTTTATCCGATATTTTGCAAAAAAAAAAATTTGTCGACCCTATCTGATTAAGTGTATTATTTCTATTCAAATTTATTCCAAAACAATCGGGTAGAAAATCAAGTAGGAAATTGAATAAATACATATTTTTTTGTTATTAATTTTTGAATCATTTAAACAATGCAATTTTGTCAACAATCACAATAAAAAAATTATAAATATTAATATATCATAATTGTTAGACAAATACAATAACAACTGTTTTAGGTTTAAACCATATCAATCACATATCAAACATTATAGCTGTTACAATAGATCATCACAAATCAAGTAACTTGCACAAAAAATAAATTGATGTTTTAGCGTGTGCGCGCGCTTGTGTGTGTGTGTGTGTGGGGGGGGGGGGGGGGGGGGG